CCCCCCCCCAAAAAAAAACCAAAACTCACTATGTAGCCCATGCTGGCCATGAACTCATGGCAGTCCTCCTGCCTCCGTCTCCTGATTGCTAGTATTATAGACATGTGCCACCATGCTCAGATGTTGAATATATATTTTTGCAAACGTTTTCTCTCAGTGGCTTACCTTTTCCTTTTCATAAATGTCTTCTGAAGCACCTGCGCATTTTATTTTGATAAAGTCAAGACTTTCCTCTATGATTTAAGTATCTTGGTAAAAATAGATTTTGCCAAATGCAAGATCACTAACATGTTTTCTTCTAGGAGTTCTATAGTTTTAGCTCTTGTATGTAACTCTAGAACCCATTCTGAGGTCATTTTTGTATTTGGTGATAGGTAAGGGTAAATTCTTTTCTTCCTTCTTTGCCTGTTTTAACTTCTTCTCGCCCTACTCGTCCTCCTTCCTTCCCATACGGATATCAAATTTCTCTATTATTTTTGGTAAAAAGATGATCTTTTTCCTATTAAATTGTCTTGACACCTATTGACTATAAGAGCTGCAGTATGTGTGACTCTTCTCTCTGTTTTATGTTTATGCCAATATGCTCTCTTGTGTGCCTTAACTTTATAATAAGTTATGAAATCATTCATTGAATTGTGCATTGAAGATTCATTTTTAAAAGTTGTTGGCTATTTTATGTTTATAAAAATAGATATTTTCATCTTGTTTTTTACAACCTCTCTAAACCCACTTGATAGGTTTTTTTTTCAGCTTTAATTGAGTTTATTGGTACATTTTAGGCATACAGTACAGTTACATTCATTATTGGGATCTTGTACCTCTACATGACAAGTCTTTGTTCTCATTTTTTCCCCTTGTCCCTGCCCTCCCTTCACCCCCTCCTCCCCTCCCCAACTACAACCACTTTATTTACATCTTTTCATTATCTCACATATTTTTCTTTTCCTTTTTTACCCTTCCCCTACCCGTCCTACCTTCCCTACACCTTTAGCTCCTTTTTTCTCATTTCTCAATGTCAGTAATCTTATCAGGATCTTCTGTATTATTGCAGATTATTCACACCAGAGAAACTATTCAGTATTTACACATGTGTGCCTTATTTATTTCACTTAGGAGTATATCTTCAATATGTATCCATTTTCCTATGAATGAATCTATTCTCTCATTCTTTATGGCTGAGTAATATTCCATTTTATAGACAAACCACAACTTCTTTATCCAGTTTCCAACGGATGGGAAAATGGGCTGTTTCCAAGTTTTAGCTATTACAAACTGTGCCGCTATAAACATGGGTGCGCATACTTCTCTGTGATATGATTCTTTTAGTTCTTTTGGAAAGATACCCAGCAGAGGGATGGCTGGGTCAAATGGAACTTCCAGTCCAAGCTCTTTGAGGTATCTCCATATTGATTTCCACAGTGGTTGCACCAGTCTGCACTCCCACCAACAATGGAGAAGGGTTCCTTTCTCCCCAAGACCCTGCCAACATTTGTTATTGTGTGATTTCTTGATAGCAGCCATTCTTTGTGGGGTGAGGTGGAATCTCAGTGTTGTTTTCATCTGCATCTCTTAAATGATCAATGATGTGGAACATATTTTCATATATTTACCTGCTGCTTTTACTTCTTTGAGAAATGTTTGTTCATTTCAGATGCCCATTTTTTAATTGGGTCTTTATATTTTGGGGGGCTGATTGTTTTGAGTTCTTTATATATTCTTGATAATAGTCCTTTGTCTGAGGAATAGCTGGTAAAAATTTTTTCCCACATTGTAGGTTGTCTCTTAGTTCTGCTGATGGTTTCTTTTGAAGTACAGAAGCTTTTTAATAAGATGAGATCCCAGTTGTTGATTCTATCTGCTAGTTCCCGTGCTACTGAGGATTTGTTCATAAGGTCTTTTACCTATGCCAATGTCTTCTAGAGTTCTGCCTAACTTACCTTCCAGCAAGTTTGTTTCTGTTTTAATATTTAGATCTTTAATCCATTTGGATTTTAATTTAGTGCATGGTGAAAGATAAGGATCTAGTTTTAATCTGTGGCAGGTTGAAATCCAGTTTTTCCAACACCATTTATTAAAGAGGCTATCTTTCCTCCACTGAGGATGGTGAGCTCCTTTGTCGAAGATGAGGTAGCTGAGTACATCTGCATTTGTTTTTGTGTCTTCCAGTCTGTTCCATTGATCCTCAGGCCTATTTCTTTGCCAGTACCATGCTGATTTTATCACAGTGGCTTTGTAGTATAGTTTCAAATTGGGAATTGTTACACCTGGTGCCATGTGACTGTTGCCTATAATGGCTTTTGCTATTCTAGGTCTCTTGTGGTTCCAAATGAATTTTTGGATTCTTTTTTCTAGTTCTGTGAAATATAGTGTTGGAATTTCAATTGGCATTGCATTGAATGTATATAGCAGTTTCGGTAGTATGGCCATTTTCACTATGTTGATTCTTCCTACCCAGGAGCAGGGGATATCTTTCCATTTTTTTATATCCTCTTCGATTTCTTTTTTCAGAGTGCTGTAGTTTTCAGTGTAGAGATCTTTTGTTTCTTTTGTTAGATTGATTCCTAGATACTTCATTTTTTTGGATGCTATTGTAAAAGGAATTTTTTCCCTTATTTCTCTTTCCGTCTGTCTGTTATTTGTGTATAGAAAGGCTATTGATTTTTGGGTATTCACCTTGTATCCAGATACTCTACTGAATCTGTCAATTAAGTCTAGAAGTTTTTTGGTGGAGTTTTTTGGATCTTCAATGTAGAGTATCATATCATCAGCAAATAATGACAGTTTAACTTCTTCCTTTCCTATCTTTATTGCTTTAATTTCTTTCTCTTGTCTGATTGCTGTGGCTAATGTTTCCAGAACTGTATTGAAGAGGAGTGGTGATAATGGGCATCCTTGTCTTGTTCCTGATTTTAACATGAAGGTTTTCAGTTTTTGGCCATTTAATATGATGTTGGCTGTTTGTTTTTCATAGATAGCCTTTATTAAGTTGAGGTATAGACCATCTATTCCAATTTTTTGCAGGGTTTTTATCATGAATGGGTGTTGAATTTTATCAAATGCTTTTTCTGCATCTATTGAGAGGATCATATGGATTTTGTCCTTGACTTTGTTAATATAATGTATTACATTTATTGACTTTCATATGTTGAACCACCCTTGCATCTCTGGAATAAATCCATCTTGGTCAGGATGGATGATCTTCTTGATGATCCTCTGTATTCTGTTTTCTAGTATGTTATTAAGGAATTTTGCATCTATATTCATTAAGGAGATTGGTCTGTAGTTCTCCTTTTTAGTTGCATCTTTCCCTGGTTTGGGAATCAAAGTGATACTTGCTTCCAGGAATGAATTTGGAAGTATAGCTTGCCTTTCAATTTCATTGAAAAGTTTGAAGAGTAATGGCGGTAGTTCTTCTAATGTCTTGTAAAATTCAGCAGTGAATCCATCAGGGCCTGGGCTTTTCTTTGTTGGTAAGTTTTTAATTACATTTTCAATTTCACTGACTGTAAATGGGGTGTTTAAAATATTTTTATCTTCTTTGTTCAACTTTGGTAATTCGTAAATATCTAAGAATCTGTCCATTTCTTCTGTGTTTTCCATTTTTTTGGAGTACAGGTTCTCAAAGTAGGTATTCATGATCTTCTGGATTTCTTTTGGATCTGTTGTGACTTTGCCTTTTTCATTCCTGATTGCATGGATCTGAGCCCTTTCTTTCCTTTTTTTTGATAAGATTAGCTAAGGGTTTGTCGATTTTATTTATTCTTTCAAAAA